TGACTTATAGCAGATTTTGATTCGTTTCAAACTTGAATAATGAATTTTTACGAGAAGCACTGCCTTTTACAATTGACAGTTTACTTTGACATTTAAACCTGTGTCATGTACGGTGGTACAGAACTGATAATAGATTATGAACTTTCTAAGTGGTATATAAATATTGTGTTAGAGGCACTAACATATGTAAGTTGGGGTTGATGGTAGAGTGGTTGTCGTTTTCTTCAAAGACAACTTATTTGTGATTTGAAATAGGATTTAGATTTTGAAATAATAAAATGGTGAGCTAAATAGTTGTTTAGTAAAAGAGCTGCAAAACTGTAGCCCTCTGCTTTAGAAAAATCGGACAGATAAAGCAGAGAGCTACCGATCCAAGCGTTGTAAAAACCTTCGATTTACGCCGAAGATTTTTTTGTCGCTCACTTCGGGGGTTTTTACTGGTATTTTATACTTTCCTCAGCTTTAAAAACGGTATAAACTAATTAATTATACATTTAACTTCAATTTCTGATAATTCACCTACCCTCCAACTCTAACAAATGGAACTCTTTAAAAGGGACTTTACAAAACTATATACAGGACTGTTTCGGACCGTTAAAAGGTAAATAAAGTATCAAAAATAAGAGTTAGATATATGATTAATTATAGGATACCTTCCTAAAAGCCAGAGAAAGCTTAAACTACACGAAATATACACCTAAAATATCGACAAGAAAACCATCGTAAATCGAAGGTTTTTTTTACAACGCTTGGATCTGTAGCTCTCTGCTTTATCTGTCCGAATTTTCTCAAGCAGAAAGCTACAGTTCTGCAGCTAACATTGTCTTTGTGTAAAAGTAAGTCGTCATCAGTAAGAAGTATAAGTCCAATAGAAGCACTTTGTATTGCATTTGAAAGGAATTTTTGCAGACAAGACTGCAACTTAATTGGAAACAAAGGTTTTGAAATAAAGATACCTTTTAAAGAGCTCGGTTCACTTTATGCATAAAATGGCCCTGTAGGTATACCAATTGATTAATTAACACTTGACTTTCCATTTGAGGCAGTATGGGCAGCGGAAAGGGCAAAAATTACCATAATGAGAAAACAAACAATTATTTTAATTTCAATGACCATAAAAACTTAACAAATGATATACAATGCATAATCAACAGACCTTTTCGCAGAACAAATATACATTAAAGCAAAACCAACAACCACGTACGTAACAAACATATATGAATGCAAAACTCGACAAGCGAAAAAAACTTAACAAACGTGCACGCGGTAAATCTAGTCTTCCCGACACCCGGCTCCCGACGGTCCCGGATTTTTTTTTTTTTTTTTTTTTGTCGGTGCACAGAAACCCTTCAAACTCCTCGGGCACATTTTCTTTTTAAATGAATTCAATGATATGTTAAAACTTCTATTACTGAATCAGCAGTATCACCTGCCAAAAAGCGTTAAATGTAGTACTCCGTTATAAATATGAAAACCAAAAACGGACACAGATTTGAAGTTAATATATTCTGTATAATATTACGACTTATATATTTTAATAGCATTTAACACAAAAATATATTAAAAATCTTATTTCATCTAAAAGTTATTAAAACTTAAAACTTCAAATTTTTAGACATGTATTAAAAATATTGATATTGAGAAGATATTTCTTCTAAAAAAGATGGAATTAGTATTTCAGTAGAAATTGGTGGTGTTAATAAAAAAAAAAGAAAATTTGAATTCTATAAAAATTCATATCATCAAAATGATTTGATTTCTAAAAAGATTTTTATCATAATTTTCATAAAAATAGCTTAAATCTAACATTCTACTTATGGTAAAACCATGGAAAATGAAAGTATTGCTTGTTATACATTGAGGTAGTATCGTTTTTGAAAGGAAGGGGGTCAACCAGAGAAAAAAATTCAATCTAGCTGAAAAAAAGATTTTAAAAACTTGACAAGCTAGAACAAAAAGGAAACTAAAATGATATACATGTAGCCCTAACTCGAAAATCCTATTTCGTATGTGTGAGTGAGGGTGTATATGGGGGGTGTGGGTGTGGGTGTGGGTGTGTGTGTGTTAGGTTCAACTTCTTTCAGTACCATTTTTTCCTAAAATACATGTACTACATAACCCCTTTTTGACCTTACTCTTAAAATTGGAAAATGTTGCTGTGTGCCTGTCATATGATATGTCACTGTAATCAAAAGTTATCAAAATAGATTCCTGTAATATTTAAAGAATCGGGGAAAACCAATTTATGTAACAACAACAGAAAAAAAAATGACAAAACGGCCTTCAGGAGAATGAGATATATGTATTTTTTATTTTATGGAAATTCTTTTCTTTCATTTGAAATTTTTAAGATAAATTAACCAAAAAAAAGGGAAAAATTTAAAGGGAGATCCGAGGTAGAACTACGCCCATGTTGTAGAGGCTGGGAACATAAACATGATGTGGCAAAGAGTTCTATACGAAAAAAAAATATGTGGGGAATTTTTGTGCATACAAATTATCTGGCATATAAACGAGGGTTATCATTTATTTAAAAAAATATACCACAGTTTGGTGTTTTTGCGATTCTACGAAAACATAGGTATCCTTTTTTTCAGTGGTTTTCGCATTTATAGCTGAGTACTAGATTTACCGCTTTTTGGCAGATGATACTGCTGATTCAGTAATAAATACGCAAATTTGTTAAAGTTTTTATATATTAAAATATATTATTTGAACCCAGAAAAGTGCCTGAGGAGTGTGAAGAGTTTCTGTGCACCGACAAAAAAGAAATCGGAAAAAAAAAACCGGGACCGTCGGGAGCCGGATGTGGGGAAGTCTAGATTTACCGCGTGCACGTTTGTTAAATTTTTTTCGTTTGTCTTCTTTTTATGTACGTTTGTTCTGCAAAGATGATCGTTGGTTTTGCATTCATATATGTTTGTTACGTACGTGGTCGTTGGTTTTGCTTTTATGTATATTTGTTCTGCGAAAAGGTCTGTTGATTATGCATAGTATATCATTTGTTAAGTTTTATGATCATCGAAATTAAAATAATTGTTTGTTTTCTCATTATGGTAGTTTTTGCCCTTTCCGCTGCCCATATGAGGCATTTAAATAAAATAGAGACTTAGTGCTTTCATTTCCTATCAAAACTTTCTCCTTAAAGTCCAGGTCTTGGAGAACTAGCTTTATGAAATTGCAATGTTGTTGAATTTTAAGGTAAATTAATGGGTATAACTGAGTACTTTCAGTGAATAAAAAAATAGTATCAGCGCACTCTCTGATCTAAAAAATAAAACTTGTCTTTTGATCCCCGGTAACAGTTCTATCATTTTGTAGTTGCATATTTTAGATCAGAGGTTGCGCTCTATATTAAATATTGAAAAAATAGCTTTAAAAATTGGTTGTTCTGTAGACTTTTTCAGAATAAAAGGAAATTGATGCATTTCGTAACGTCATAATGCATTGACTTGACAGAAAATGTTTTATTATATTGAATAGTGATTTATAAGAATTTCACCCCGTGAATGTGAACTGCGGTTTTATGTTGGATTTCCAGATGTTGAATTAAAACCATGTTACTCCCAAATACAACTATGAAAATTAGCCTTACAAATAAAGACGATGTAGTTACCAGTATTTTTATCCGGCACTTTTACATACTGTTATTGTAGTCTAATTTCTTTATTACCTACGATTCTGTAAAAAAAAAAATAAAATGAAGGATTTGCATATTTCCTTTAATTTTTTTTTTACAAGATTTTTAAATATATTTTATTTCTAAAATTCCATTTTGACAGAGTAGAGCGCATTAGTCTACTCATCCTAGTAAGCCCAACGTTTGACATCACCCTCGACAGAATTCAAAACAGAAATGAAATTCTGTCGCCAAGTGAAATGTCGGGGCTTCCAGGGTATTTAGGACCTTTTATGAAGATTGTTAATTTTCAAATACTTAAAAAAAGGATACTGTATACATTTAACTGACAAGAGATGTCTTACTTCTTTCAAGTGGTTATATAATCCAAAACAACCACCACTCCGAATTTTTTTTCAAATTAAAATGTTTGACTTTAACACTAATTAGGCGACTAAAATATTTTTACTATGGTTTAGCTGGACTGTAGAAAGGAAATACTTGATATTTTCAAATCAACTAGTTATACAGGTCATCAGCTATGATGATCAATGAAATATATGGAGATAACCAACAGTATTCAATGCAATAAAACAATGGTACTCTTTTCTGGATGTACTAAATTTTAAAATACACATGCCGACTGCATCTTTACATCTATTGATTTATAATGCTATGCTTTGTATACAATTGCGCTGAAACTAGGATCTTCATTCATCGTTTGTTATTTTTGTTTCAAAGGTTATTCTACCAAATTCTGCAGTCATATATCTTTCTCACTCTGTTAATTATAAAGTGAAGTTTTTGTTTTAACTGTTATCATGACGAAGCATATTTAATATTGGTTAACATGGGGCTTTTATGATTTAATCAATAATGTCGCTAGATTGTCTGCAAAATTTAAGTCAAATTCATCGAAACAAGTCTAGCAGTGTGCATCTTTATAGTTGTACCTTTCAGGCAAATTGTCCAATTAGGGAAAATAGTTACTTAAAATTGAACACACGTACTTCAAAAACTTTAATTTGGTCACTCAACGGGAAAATTAAATTAAATTCATCATTCGGAACAAATCGAGTAATTTAAGGATTTAAATGTATCATACATGCAAGTTTGATCAAGATAAGGCTTATAGTTACGTAAGAAATGAGAACAACTCCAACCATTGTTTATGTATGCAAATATTAACTGTTTTTCTTCTTATTAATGTGTATGAATTTTTTCTCGAAAATGTAGACATTTAAAGCCCAATCACACAAGGTTTTGAATAGTTTGATGGTAGGTAAGTTTAACATTGCTAGCAGTGAAAAATAATTTCTATAAACGTTTTAATATACAACATCAATATTGAAAACAATGAATAATAAAACCAATTGTAATCAACATAAAGAATAATTTTAGTGAAGCGCAAAGGAAGGGAAAGGTAAGAAAACGTTTAATTTTGCTGTGAAAGTACACACGAATCAATTTCGGTATAATCAAAATGAGCATATTACTTTTAAGGAAACCTTTGTACAGTTGAAAATATGATTTTAAAATAGAAAAATTCAACCTTTTATCAGTAAGACCTCTAGAATATTCGTGTTATACTAATGACTATATTTGCAACCACGTTTACATTGTTAATAGATACTCGTATCGGATTTCTAAATTAGCTTTTCGTGACAATTAGCCCTCCTTGACATGTGCAAAAAAGAGACAAATAAACAGGTATTTTTGGTGAAAATTTTTACTAAGCGCCATTTCCACATTTGATTGTGTGTGTGTAGCTCGACAATTCACAATTATGTCTTTCAACTTACAAAGTAAAAATATATCAAATTGAATTACATGTGTATTGTTTTGCATTCAATTCGTCATCACAAATTGGTTATTCACTAATCAATCACTTATTCATAATCATTATAATCGACAAGCACAAATTCTACTTTTAGATGCTTGAGACATTAAAATTTCGATATCAACTATGAATTTCTTGCATGATGTTCGTCTTAAAGCATTCATTCATGTCCTTTTATTTTTATCCAAAGAAAAAACCTCTTGGCCTTCTATCGGTTACTTTATCCATCAGCTTTCGGTTGGATTCTAGCCAGCGCGAAATCAAACCCCTTGGTCTTTTACTTTCTTTCTTCTCTGATTTCTTTTCCTGACCTCTGTTTGGCGGTCTCCCACGTGCGACACCCCGTCCTCGTGAGGAGGATCTTCCGCGTGTATTTCCTCCATTTCGTACACGTGTGTTTCCCCCAGTTCGTCGGCGAGTATTTCCTCCAGGTGTTCTACGAAAGTTTAATTGTCTTCGATTATTTACTCGATTAGGCCTCCTTCTAATTGGCCTTCCTCTATTTGTATTTTGTCTTCGTTCATTGGCCAGACGTTTTTCCAGCTCTTTTATTCGTCTTTCTTGTTCAAGTCTTTCTTTCCTTAGTCTTTCCAGTTCCAACCTTCTTTTCTCTTCTTCAAAGGTTTCCCTGACCCATGGGTCGCCTGTTCCAGGGAACAATTCCCCAGGCCTCAATCGCCCCCTGTCTATTGTCACTAGACCATCTGGTCCATAGTACTTTGTGTCGGTGATTCCACGAGCTTGTTGATCTCGGAGACGTCGCTGGACCTCGTCCATAGTTAACTGTACTTCACGAGGTATTCCATCTGGGCCAACTTCCGTGAACCATTGCACATCTTGACCCCCATAACCACTGTGTCCATGCAAATCTTGGCCACCGGGTCCATGCCCAAATTGACCTAGGATTGCATCAATATCTTGACGGCTGTGTCCACGAACCCCTGGACGACTGTGCCCATGAACATCTTGGCCACCGTGTCCATGCGTATCTTGACCGCCGTGTCCATGAACGTCCGGACGACTGTGTCCATGTGTATCATGACCCCCGTGGCCATGTGTATCATGACCTCCGTGGCCATGGTCATGTCCGCCATCGACAACGAGAGCAGAACAGAAAGTTCCTATAAAATAAACCAATAAATGTATTTTTAAAGCAAATTTATCGAGAAGCGTATAAAATTGGATGTTTTTTTTAAATTTTTGTTCTGTATGTGAAGGAGCACAACATTTGCTTACATATAAAAAGGTGGGCCTGTCCACTAGCAACTTAAGAAAAAAATGACTTGTTAAGTTTTATGCAAAGTTCCATGTTTACATGATTTTCCATCGACTTATCAGTCATTATACCTTCCCCCAATCGATTATTCCTAAATCCCATTTAGTTAAGGAATAACTGTCTTATTTTTCGATTTCATGACGTGATCAATTGATTGGGCTGCGTGATAATTTGCATAAACGCCGAAGGCGTTTATGCATAAAATTATCACGCAAGCCAGTCGATTGATCATCGTCATGAAATTGAAGAATAAGACAGTTATTCCTTATATATACATGCTTTGATTTCGCCAATCCACGTGCTCCAAGCCCTGCTTCTGTCTAGCTGTTTGTTCCGCCCTGCACGTGTTTTTTTTTTTTTTGTTTTGTTTTTTTTTGAACCGCGCCAATACATTGATGGGGAAATAAAGTACATTTACAATTTGTAATAGACATTGAATATATAAATATTACCTAATCTATTCATTAAAAGTATCCAGATAAACACGATGTAGGTTTTCGTTTATAGACTGTTTTTTATTCAATGAAATATACCCTACCCTAACAAACAATCGATCAGTATTCAATAAATCAAATCTTCGCTTTATTTCACAAAACTCTTTATTGAAATCCTATTTCATGAAAAACATGTCATTTGATTTTGCTGAATTTTGTAAGCCTTTGTATCTAGCTTATAATTTAATTGGAATATCTTAATGACGAAAATCCATAATATTTCTAGACAAAATGAAAGAGAGATCAAAAATGGTAGAGGTACATCACACTTACATCACACTTACCTGAAAAGGAATAAGTAATCACTAATAGAAATATCGATGTGAACATTGTCCTGTATTATAATAAATATTGAGATCTTCTGTCGTTTTGTCTTTATGTGTTTTAATCCACACAGGTGTGTACCGCCCTGTAAGACGCCCATCCATCTTCTGGTAATCTATCAACAGTAAGTACTGTTACCAATAAACAACACACGCTTATAATGCTGAAGAAACATTGGATCCTAACTTCTTGTTACGTCACTGTGATACGCTTTGTAAGGTTCATTTCATTTGATGATCTATTTATTTTTATTAAAGGAAATCAGAATTGAGAATTACAATTATGAAAAAGATATTTGCATTTGACTTTTTTTAGAATTTATTTTAGGTGTGTAGCTTAAAGAATAAGAATCATTGATTTGCTGATATATTTTTTATAATCATCCAATAATAAATTTTCTTTTGTGATCTATTGCTTTTATCTTATTTGTTCGATTGTTTGTTTGCGTTTTCCCCCTAGAATTATGCTAATGCTTCGTTGTTCTTTTTTGTACTTTTTATTTTTTTCGAGTGGTTTAGGGAATATTTGATTTTTTTTCCCTGAAATATTTATTTTTGCTTGTTACAGTAGCTCGTGTAAATGTAAAACATATGCTCATGAATAGGAGTATAAGATTATAAAATCAAAGCAATAGCTTTCAAAGATAATCATTTGAAAGATATGATTGATACGCATGTTTCTTCAGTTATAAATGAAAGAATATGAGAAAGGGAAAGAGCTTGAGGGTTGAGGATCGAATTCAATTTTCCTTGGGGGCAACGATTCAAGCACTAGAAAAAAGAAAAATAAATAATAATGTGATGATGATCTTTGTCTCAGAAGTGGAAAAGTTCTCATTAAAATGAATTTCGGAAGTACGAAGTTAACAAAATATTAATTTCTAGATATTCAAACACAAGATATAAACACTTTAGAGTTTCATTTTTATTGAAAAGGTTCCTTGAATGGGTTCAAAATTTCTTTTCGAGCGCAGCATTGTAAATGCTACATAATGGGGGTGGGGCTTAATTTGTACGGGAAAGTTTACTGTGACATGACACAAATTAGAGGTAAGGTCACAGCCACATTATCCTTTCAAATGGACCTTTCTTTATTAAGAAGATTGGAAAAATACCTCTGTAACAATTTTGTAAATGCGTTAAACATTATTCTTACTCCTATTGAATTAGGAATTATCTTAAAACATTAAACCATAACAATATTAAATACTGCCTCTTGGTACAACTCATTCTTTTAATCTCCTTTATACAGTATGCAAAAATAACAAACATCAACGAACAAGACAAATGAATCAGAATTTCTGTCAAAGTCAATGTATACTTACCCTAGATTTCTATTTTCAAAAGGTAGCAGGAAAAAAAACAGTCATGATTTAATTTATCAGATTTTTCTCCACTAGATATTGCGATAAAAGTAGTACTATCAGTATAATACAAATTTGAATTCAATGATAAACCTCTATACAGCAATACAGCGATACATATGTCCATGGCTTTTATGAAGTGATTTGAGTTGTCTTTTAATTAAGTCGTCTACGATAGTTTTCTACCTCGTACTTTAATGGCTTACAATCATTGTCACATCACTTTAAATCTATCCAGCTACCCTTCTCCTCTTCACTTTGTCCATCAATCTCCGCTTTGATTCAATCCATCGCTGAATTAATCCCCTGGGCCTCTTCCGTTTTTCTTTTTTCTCTTCTTTCTTTGGCGGCTCAGGGCTTCTGCTTGGAGGTCTGTCATTTCTAGCACGTGCAGCAGCACGTTCTCGCTGTGATTCATAAATAGACCCCCGGGTATTTGTTCTCAGGATCCGTCTCGGTACTGAGCTGAGGGTGCGTTTCATGCCTGTTCTGTTTGGGCGTCTACGGGTAGATTTTGTCAACACATTTGGCTTACTTCTTTTCTTCTCTTCTGCTAACTTCTTTTCCAGCTCCTTGATTCGTCTCTCCTGTTCAAGTCGTTCTTTTTCCAGTCTTTCCAGCTCTAGTCTTTGTTCCTTTTCTTCTGGCGTCTCTTCTATTTTTACCGGACCCGTTTGACCGTGATAGTTTGTGTGGATGTTTCCCTGGGTTTTTTGTTCCCGGAGACGTCGCTGGACTTCCGCCATCGTTAACTGAACTTCGCGTGGCACACCGTCAGGGCCAACTTCCGTGTACCATTGCAAGTTTTTACAACAGGGGCTATATCCTGCACCAGCTACCTGACAACAGTGAGTGTATCCTGTACCCGCCACTGGAACCCCATTGGCCTCTATCAAATACACTTATAGGTATAAATGTATACAATTTTTACCAGAAAAATGATTTATGAGCATGTTCTACATATGAACAAATTTAAGATTAAAACGAGGTAAGTTATTGACAATCACTGAAACAAGAATATCAGCAGTTCGTTTAATGTCATCATTTCGTACGTTCTATGATCGATACAATGACCTCGTCAGAACATGAAATTTAACATTAAGTCAAATGCTGACCTATGTTTTTCATACTACAATGTAATTGTTAGTCTATCATTTAACACTGATTTTTGAACAGGTTTTTCTGTTATTTCCCGATCATGACAAGGAGCACACGGCGGATGGGATCGGTCGGCATGGGATGTTCACTCCTCCATGGCATCTGATCCCACCTCTTTTGGAAGTCCTTGTTTGCTCTGCTCCTATACTGCATTGTTTAATGAAATTTTGAAATTGAATACTGTCCGTTATCTCCATACATTTCATGAGATCTATAATAAAAACAACATGCAAAAACATGTCTCTGAAATTAACTTTATAAGATGAAATTCGAAGGCAAAACATATTTCTTAAAATCTTTCATTTTTCTCTAAACAAATAGGAGTTACATATTTTTTCGTTTGAACATTTTTCAATCGTCTTCCGAATCTTAGTTAAATTAGATTTAAATACAAAACAGCAATAAAAGAGAATCTGCTAATTTGTAGTGTATCGCAACATACTTACAGACAGATTTTCCATGCAAGAAAATATTTGTTTGAAGTGTCTGTTATAAATTGTGCGAAACATTTATATCAAATTTTTATCAATTCATTTTAAATGGTACATTCGTATTTAAATATTAAAGTTACAATTTTACCTTAAATGGCTTTAAAATGAATGCTACTTTTAAAATCTTTACTTACGTAATAGGAAGTTGAAAAGAAGAATGAGGAATGAAGATCTAACCATTGTCCAGAACTGTCACAAAAAACGCTGCCGCTGTCTTATTTATCACCCTTAAATGTCACATCGCCCCTAGGACAATTCGATCCAAACATCCATCTTCATCACTTCATCGACCACCAAATACAGGGCCCTTTTGCCAATTAACATTGGATATTTGTAAACCTGGATAATGACTGGCCTTTAAATTTTTGTGACTATGTGGGCTCATTTGTAAGGCTTGATTCCACTGGTTGGAAATTTTGTTTACGTTCGGGTTACCGAAAACAAATCAATTACGATAAACAGGGAATGTTCTACTTATTTTACTTACCTTTATGCAAATGCAGGATAAAAAGATTGTTTAAATTATTTTTTTTGAATCTCACAAAATGATGTAAAAAATGATCTGCTAATTTCCTCAAGGAAAATTGTGCTTGTATGCATCGATGCAGTTTATTTAAATTTCTTTTACAAATCTAAGATAAATATCTTCAAATACAAACGCACCAAACGCATAATATATGTAAATTTTTTAAAGAATACAAATGAACGTTTAAACAACAGATTGTTACTTTCTCATTAGTCTGTATTTTCAACCAATAATTTTTATATTAAGGCATTTTTTAAAAAAATTGAAAAATATATTTATAGTAGTTTTATACAACTTTTCAAATTTATTATATTCGAAAAGAAATTTTTTGATATAAGAAACCAAAGCACAGAATTCTAGTGAGTTGTTCTGATTACCTTAATCTCAAGTTTAGGTTTATTTTGATATATTAACGCATACTTTTTTTTTACATTATATGACTCTATAATATGAATAATTATGTATAATAATGTAAAAATTAATCTACGCTGATTGATTTCAAACTTACGAATCACGATTAAAAGATGACGCGAATAATAGTTGGTTTATAGTAGTTAACTTCTTTTTCAGCAATCGGTCAGGGTGCAAATTGAGATGGCATTTTTTTAAAGAAGATAATTCGGGAGTTTTTCTTATACATTCAATACCCTTCAGATGAAATATATGTTAAAATGCTTTATTTACATATTCACGTTTGATACATAAATCCTGCCAATAGGTAAAGATTTACCTGAACAGGACAGGGAGAACATAGCGGAAAGCTTACTCCTCATGGCACCTAATTCCACCTCTGTCTTTGGAGGTTCTGTTTTGCTATCCACCCTATCTTTTGCGCTCTATTCATGCTTGTTTCTCTATATTTCATAGTAGTAATATATTAAAATTAAAGAGTGTTCAGTGTATCCAAACCTCATACACTTGATTGATCCGAAGGACATTAAAGATGCAAAATCACTGGACCATGACAATGTATATGGATTATTTATATACTGACCTGGTTTCATTCATCCTCGAGCAAATGAACGATCTGTCTTTATACGATATTGTCATAAATATTGCTTTCAGGGACGTCTTAGGTTAATTGCATTTCTGAACTCTTTTTTAAGTTTCATAAGTGTCAAGCGCATCAATCTCTCAAAATTATATCTGTGACATGTTTGTGTCCTTGCTAAGGTATGAATATGTATTTGGAACATTTTTATACCAATGCTTAAAAATTGGGAAGGAATATATTATACTCCTATTTAGTGGCTATGAGGACAATAGCAAGTTTATCGTCCCCCAAGACAGCAAACCATTTCCCGTGGCACAGCCGAGGGAAATAGTTTGCTTTCGAGGAGGACGATAAACTTGCTATTGTCCGAATAGCCAGTAAATTGGTGTTTTATTATACCGATGCTGACTTTACTTTTGTTACGTCATAACATATACCTCACAATCCGTATGAAATCAGAAGGTTTCCGAGATGAAAAGCGAGGGAAACAGAATGCTGCCGGTGAATAGTTTGATTACTATTTCACCATGGGCAGATAGCACAAAAACTATTTCACGGTAGGGGCTGTTTGGAAAACATATCATGTTTATTCGTCATGTCACAGGTGGTGAAAAGTCAAGTCTCAACCGGGACTCGAACCAAGGGCCTCTGGCGTACCGTGCCAGCGCTCTAACCAACTGAGCTATTGAGACCCGATATATTGACTGACCTTCACGCACCTGTGAACCCGGTGACATATTCCCCCTCTTTGTAGAAATTCGTCCTCGAATTCTACGAGTTAAGGAAATGCTGTGAGGCATGTTCCAAGGAAATAGTGGGTTTTGTACGTTGGGCGCCAAATGTCACAGGTGGTGAAAAGTCAAGTCTCAACCGGGACTCGAACCCAGGGCCTCTGGCGTACCGTGCCAGCGCTCTAACCAACTGAGCTATTGAGACCCGATATATTGACTGACTTTCACGCACCTGTGAACCCGGTGACAGTCATATTTTTATATAGAACAAATTCACAGAGGTATAATAAAATTTAATATTTTCACTGATTCTTTAATACATAATGCCATTGTGCAACTCATATTTTACTTTATGATCTGACATTCATTTCGGATCTACCAATGGTAAACATCAAAACATGGACTATTATAATGCAATTATAATCATATTGTAACAATTTGTTTATGCCCCTAGAGGGCCCTTGATTGGTGAATAAACTAAACTATAATTTGGAGGCGGGGGTATCATTTAGTGAGATTAGTGCTCACAGTCAAGTTTTTTTTCAAACATGTAAAATATAAAAATATGTATTATTTTAAAGTATTTTTTTGAATATTTATGTGTAAATCAGTCTTTAATGAGATCCTCTCGTTTCATGAAATATGCCTACGTCACGTGACACGCCTGTATGATTTACTTTCAAAAACTCATACAATGAAAAACATGGCGATAACGAACAATATTCAAGCTCAAAGTCCATTGAACAATACAAGATTGTAGCAGAGCAAACACGGACATCCAAACCATCAGAGGTGGGATATGGTGTTACAGAGAAGTGGGCATATTCTGCCGACCGGACACACCCGCCGTGTCTTCCTTGTCATGTTCGGGGAAAAAATCGAGAGAAAAAACATCCGTCAACAAGTCAGGGTGTACAAAATAGCCTAACAATTAGCATGAAAAACGTCCTTCAACATTTGACTCAATATTAAAATATAAATTCAGTCCTAAAGCATAATTACCTGTTATATGATTTTTCCATTTTTCATAGATTAAGATGATAGTTAATATTAGTGTCATTTTATAACTATGATGAGAAAGCTTTTTCATAGCATAATCGATGATAATGTTCCATTTTTAATGTAGAAGTTGAAAGAAATGTTAGAAAAAATAATACAATGTTAGGAGGTAGTCTGCAGTTTAATTGTCATTTCCAATACAATATGACTAGGAGAAAATAAAATACATTTTTACACCATAATGAAATATATAAAGATTTTCGTTCATGTATTTTCTTCAAGCGCATTAATCTGTGAAGAAATTTGCTTAAGGAGTGAAGTGTTCTTCTTTAGTTGTCTTTCTTGGAATTGAGAACATCAAGGCGTTATTTCAATAGAAAGGAATGTTTAAGACAACATTCATTTTTAGACCCTGTAATAAAAGTCCAAATTAAATCAGCTGCTTTACCCACCTCGCCGGCAAACTTTTTAACACAATTTTTACATAATTTTGAAAAGAATTAAACAGTTAATGCAAACTTTCTACCTGAAAGAAAAATGTTTTTAATGTGCCTTCCATTCGACAATTAGATACATTGATAAATAATCAACTGATATTTGTAGAGACCTAGTAATGAAACTTGCAGTGCAAGATATCACAAAACATTACACATCTGCTTCATACCTGGATGTCTCTTATTTGTTTGTTATGACGCCTTAATCTTATTTTTACTACGGCAATCGAAATTGATCTTTTAAGTATAATTATGGTAGGAAATACTCTACATGCACATACGTATTCAAGCAAAAACGTCCTTCAAACAATGCAGAATAGGAGCAGAGCAAGGACAGACCTCTAAAACATCAGAGGTGCAATCAGGTGCCAAATAAGAAAAGGGTAATCCATTTTGGCATGAATTTTTGATGGTTTCAATGGAGTTCTAAAATCACACATTCTCCATTCCTCATTTTAATACAAGTTTTGATTTTTATTTACATTCTTCCTAGAAAAGAAATCAACAAAGAATATGCATGCAATTTTTCCCTTTGCATATTTTTTGATATATTAATTAATTATCTGAAATATTTTAGTTCTATTATCGGTCCATTATACTTTTTCTATGGCATTTATTGTTTTATGAGTTTTAAAGGAAATAATTTTAGGAAATATAGGTTCAGGGACCTACTTCTTGTAATTGAAATAATCTTATATAACCAGAAAGCACAACTGCCACGCCGATACAATGGCTTTGCCAAAAAACACGTATGATTCATTCCAGAGTGAAATATTGACTGACGTTTTTCCTACTTATTGTTAGATTCTGTTCTTCTGTTCTCCTGATCATGATTAGAAGCACATGGCGGTGTGACCGGTTGACAGAATATTAATATGCTCACTTCTCTATGACATCTGATCCCATCTATGAAGTTTTAGAAGTCCGAGGTTGCTTTGCTCCTAATTTGTATAGTTTGAATAGACTTTTGAGCCTTGATACAAACATTGTATGTACTCTTCGTTATCTCCATATCTTTCAATAAAAATTCCATTTTGGACATAGAAAAGCTACTCATAAAATATTGAAGGGCAAAAAGAATTCAAAGTATTTTAGTTCATCATTAACTTTTGGACGGTAATCGATAAAGATATGGTATATACGTAGCTGTTAATCATATTTAGGTATAATTATATTTTTTTGCCATTTTGTCAAGATAATATCCATCATTTTTAATTGATCGTGAAAAAATGCCTGTTGTTTCATTACTGACCTAAACGTATCAATATTTATTTTAACTATAAGCATTATATCTAGTTAATCAGATACTCCGTCATATTTCTGCCTTTTTTCTTTTCATCTCAACATAGGTTTTCAATATCAGGGCGAAAAAAATTCGCAATTTACTAGCATAGTAAATATGATTATAGATATAGACAGATTGATTCATTTCTCCTCTCCTGCCTTTCTTAACATTGAGAACATTTACATTAAAATTTTTAAAGAGTGAAAGATAATTCGAAATAGAAATTTTTGTTCAGTTTGCTTCATTGTAAAACTCTGTTGCCCCTTTCACAAATAGTATAATGACTAAGACA